CACACGTTAGGGGTTTTCCACCTACATTAAACCAAAAAAAAAAAAAAAAAAAAAAAAAAATCGACTTTTGACCATGTCATCATAATGGCTAAATATGTGTAGGTCCAATCTCAAATACAGTCCACCTAAAGAAGAATGAGCTCAGCTTGTTACATGTTCAATCACTCTGCCCCGTCCTCATATTTTCATCCTTCATCCTGACAGAATGCAGAGGGCTTCAACATGAGCATTCCCATGCCGGGCCACCCGGTGAATTTCTCCCACGCCACTCTGGCCCAGGCCCAGAAGGATGTGGAGCAGCTGGAGAAGCTCATCTCCGAACACGATGTGGTCTTCTTACTAATGGATACAAGAGAGAGCCGCTGGCTGCCCACCGTGATCGCCGGGAGTAAGAGGAAGGTGAGGATGGAACATTGTTATGATGGCGGTATCGTAGGTGGCTTAATTTCATGTCATCATACTGCAGGTGAGGTCTCCTCCCTCATCTGAAAAAACATCGAACAAGATCTTTTTTTCCAAGCAAATTAGTAGCAGATTAGTACTATTATTATTTTTGTTTTTATTTAATTCTCGTGTGTTATGTTTTATCTTTATTTATTTTGAGCACTTTGTTTCAGCTGCAATTGTGTTTTAAAGTAGTCAAAATTATGTCACTTTTGGACATTGGTTTTCATCCTTGCTCTTACACAACTCTTCCAGGCAGCTTTTGTCTCAATGCAATCCTATACTGTCATGGAAACCAGTATTTAGAATGGAGCCGAGAGAGATTCTTTCATCCACCCAGTCAAAATAAAATGTAGTGTATGAATGAACTAAATAATGAACCTTTTCAGGGACAGCGTTTACTACAGTGGACAGCTTATCATGTTATCAGGTTACAGGGTGCCTGAAAGGGTTAAAATTAATGTCTTTGTGCCCATGATGAGTTGATGTAAACATTTGCCCACAATTCTACTTCAAAAGCTGCTTCACAAATTGTCATCTGTCCCTTTTGGAAGCTGGTGGTCAACGCTGCTCTCGGCTTTGACACATTCGTGGTGATGCGCCACGGCCTGAAGAAAGTTCGCCAAAATGCCGGTGGCGACGCGGACTCCTCCCCTTCCTGTTCTTCTGCATCGTCATCGTCCTCCACGCCAGCCGGCTCCACGTCTTCTGTGCCGGCATCGTCCCTGTTTTCCAACATTCCCGGACACAAGCTGGGCTGCTACTTTTGCAACGACGTTGTGGCACCAGGAGATGTAAGAGTCTGTAGCACGTACATGTACATTTCCTATTTAATAGGTCCTTTAACTCATTCAGTACCAGCCAATTCTGGACCAAGTCTGAAAAGACGTTTAAAAACGTCTTTGGGAGTGAATGAGTTAATTATCATCACCCATTTTGGCTTATTGACGTTTTCTTCTGCTTTTTAAAAATCTTTTTTTTTTTTTTTTTTAAATTTTAAACGCACATTGCTATTCAACATCCATAACTGCATGTACTTGTCATTTCAGTATCGAGATGTGACATTCTGCTGCATGCCATGAATGCTATTGCTCATTTCCACAGTGCGGGAGTAACAAAGGTTATCTTAAATTGAAAAATGAGTCCCATCTGGCGGAAAATCATAAGAATCAAGCTCCACTATTCGCTAATTTAAATTTTAACATGAAAGGTTGGATAACTAATGTCATGAGGCACACATGTCAGTTATATGTAGCTCTACACGTTGGGCTATTTGAACGAGCAGAAATGTATTCTGGAAAATTCAACCTGTATTTATTCAACGCAGCCAAAATGGTTTGGAAAAAAATCATTGTCACATGTTCCTATGAATGTCTAAAGGATTGAAATGGTAATAATAATTGTCTATAATAATACGTTTTTGCCAGATATGCGGCGACTCTTTTGCAAATCTCAAGTAGCTTTACAGAAAAGGAGTTTTGTTCTGCTAGCCCTCAAAACACAGAATTCATTGACCTTGACAGGCAGCTGATTTAATCGAAATACAAGCACATTGTGTTTTTGGGAAATTGCCAGGCCACATGTAGTGCGACCTGTGGAACATTTCCCTGTGTGGGCTTATTATCATGACCATGTGTAGTCAGGTTACTCTATTTGAAACATCTCACAGAATGTCTTCATCTTTTCTTTTCTTTTTTCTCCTCTAATGCTTTCTTTTATGCATTTCCTCCCACACAACATATCAGTGTGAGTCATTTTAGAGATCTTATTCATGAGGTATTGAAAGTTGCACACAATTGGAACAGTCATTCAGCAGCCCTCCGCCCCCTGCTATGATCAGGATATGGATTTTTTTATTTTTTTTTAAATCAACGGCCCCCATGCTACCGGTAAATGCCGAATGATATATTGTTGCTTTTTAAAGCATGCATGTGCCTGTGCCGTGGCTGACTTTCTAAAATTTATTTTATGGGTACATTCTTGTCATTCTGTGTATGTTGATGTATTTCTATTTTACATTGTGACAATGTATAACTGGCGAGGTTGCATTCATTATGGGAAGTGTACATTGCGTGGCCACATGTGTCAGGAAACTTACCAATACGCTACACTTTGTTTATGTAAATCTTTGCAAGTGTTTTACATTTTGAAATGATCACTTCTTCAACATTCATAAGAAATCACAATGTCCCATAACATGTACAATCTAATAGAAACAAATGTCAGAAAACAACTTCTTAATTTTGGTGATTAACCTTTCAGTATTTTTTTTTTTCTGAAATAAAACAGTCAACCCGGGATCGGACTCTGGACCAGCAGTGCACCGTAAGCCGACCGGGCCTGGCCATGATTGCGGGTGCTTTGGCGGTGGAGATGATGGTGTCCATTTTGCAACATAGTGAAGGGTGAGCACAGTTGCCACAGCAACGTTATCCTGACTGAGCGAACGTGATGACAGCCGTGTATTAATGGAATTGGCCTGTTCAATGGCGAAATGTTAATACCACATATGAATTGAAATACCAGCTCTTTCCAGATCTTGTGATGAGTTTATTAATATATATTATTTTAGATCGGGTTTTTTGGATTATTCCATATTTTTATATTATTATAAAATACATATATATATATATATATATATATATATATATATATATATTTAATTTATACAAATTATTCCAGAATTTATATTATTCTATATTTTTAGGTGAAATTTTTGAAGGATTTTCAAGGGTTGGTATTTCCCAATAGGTGGAGTAACTTCCCCTTTAATAATATCTCAACTTGTGTCAACATTGGGCTGCAACAACACTGAAGTAAACAAGTAAATGATGTTCCAAATATTAAATGTAATATATGGGCCAGTGTGAAAAAATAAAAATCTCGCTATGGTGTGAATTCCATAGTGGGGGCAGTTATTTTATTTTTATTTTTTTTAATTTTTGTAATAAGTAAATGCATGCAAGGTGTGATAAGGCAACTATTTTCTGGCATGACGTTATTAGTCGCCACGTAGCCGCCTTTTCAGTCTTGTCCAGAAAAAAACATAATCTCCATGACTGTACTGCAATGTTGTTTTTGGACTTGTAACCATGGTTACCCATTACAGCTGCAAACTTCAACTTGTCAAATGTGTGGGTTTTACTTTTCTGATGCTTTGTTGACTGCAAGGGCTCATGACCTTGTGTTCATTAGTGCTGTTTTTCTCCATCTATTTGATGCAAATTGCTCATGATCCCCGCATGGCATTCACATGAAGGATGTCACCTTGTGTTCAAACACAGAGGCTACGCTGTGGCCAGCAGCAGCGACGACCGAATGAACGAACCTCCCACGTCGCTCGGCCTGGTTCCCCATCAGGTAACAAGGACTCACTTTTCCTCCATGATGCACTATTCAAGACAGCATGTTGCTTTAAGATGCGTCAACTAAAGCTACATTGACTCTCAATGATGACCCCCGACAGTACTTTGAACTCCAACCACATTCAGGAAAACGGTGAAACCTCCAAAACTGAAAATCTGTATTGTTAAATCTTGATTAACCGTACCGAGGTGATCGTGTAGCTGTCAACAAGTATAAGGACATGTTGAGAGTGTCTTTTAATAAAACACAATTTTAATAGATTACAATTTTGAATACTACAAGAATTTATTCAGCATTTTATGAAACTTTTTTTACGTTACGTGGTCAAAGCTGTAAGGGTCTGGGGAGGGGGCTGAAGTCGTATTTGTAGAAGAATGAAGATGTAATTTTAGTTTTAATTTTTTTGTTTCAGAAAAAAACAAAACCAAATAGAACTGCTCAATTTTTTAAAATGCCTCATTGACCTGTATTGGAAGAATTAAAAAAAAAAAAGTACTTAAATGTTGGCATTCAAACATTTCTAAAAGTTTAACCGCAAATGCGTTGTACTGAAAAGTTACATACAACCAAATTGTACTCAACACAAAAAAATGAAGCAACTATGACATGCCAAGTTTGATCTTTTAAATCAGTAATTCTTCCACGTACCACTGGAGCCAGCCAGCCTTCCGCTCGTGCTGCTTGCGCCACGCTTTAAAAATCCCTGGGTGCAGTGTATTAACGTTTACTCTGCAAAATTAATTTGTGTAGGAAATTGATACTTCATCAAATCTTTTTCTTATCAGACACGCTCCGATGTCGCAGTCAGTGCAATTATGTGCTCATGGGTATCATTTAACCTCTCCTTAAGGTACCTTTTTATTGTTCCCATTTGATGAACATAATGTTGTGACCACCACATGCGCACCGCGTGTTTGATAAATGTATTTTGGCAAAGATCAACTTGCTGCCATGGCGGTTGCCATAGAAATACCAGCAGTTCCTTCAGCCAAGTGCTGCATTGTACTGTTTGTACTGTGCATGTGTGCAAGTCTTTTATAGATCAGTGTTTTAAAAGAGCACTATTCTCTGATCTGATGACACGTCATATTGTTGTTTTGTTTTTGTTTAGTCAGACACCAACTGACAAATATGCACAAAGCAATTTCACAGATTGCATTATAATTATTCATTAGATATCCTTTGTAAACGAAACACTTATGACAAGTTGATTACGTGTGTATGTAGACAGCAAGCTGTGCTCCTTTGCAACTATTTCAGGTGTTAACTCTCTCACATGACATTTGCATCGTCATCATCATCTTGATCACTTTGTGTTCATCACACTGACAAGTTCTGCCATTTGCTCGACACATCTGCTGCTCATGATGTTCAGCGTGAATGAAGAGGGTATGAAAATGTGCAGCCGTGTGTGTTTTGGATAGGTGATGATTAGGATGACGTGATGTGGTGAATATTTACAACCTTTTTTTCCCTCTGGGAATAAAAGTTACAGTATGCCACTGCAACGCGAAAAGTAGCTCCGGTTTTGTAATGTTGCGGTGACCACTTGTGGCCGAGGGAAGAAACTACACGTCATGTGATTTGTGGATGAAGGAAACTATTTCACATGATGAAAGGAGTCTCCTCAAATCATTATTTGACATTATGAATTTGTGATATAAAATGACTTTATTCTTTATTGTGAAATTTCTATTTTGACTTTGTTCTCAGAATTTCTTTTTCTGATAAAAGCAACAACTTCATTGTAAAATCACATCTTTATTTTAATCAAATGTTTACTTGACCGGTCAAACTACTTTTTAATCTAAAATTATTTATATAACTGTCACTTTTTCCCCCCTCGGGAACATTATTTTAGTATTTATAATTCATTCTCAAAAGTGTCCATTTCTTTTTATTCTCATGAATGAAACCTTGATACAACTTAAATTTCTTTTTCTTGTCTCCTTGTAAAATTTTAACTTGATCAAAAATGTAGTTTCCCCTCATGGAATTGTCTTCATTCTTTAAAATTACCATTTTATTGTAAAATGATATATGCATTTACATCATTACTCTCAAATGTACTCTCTGCACTTATTCTTGGCAGGGGCACGTTTAATTTCAATATTCTAAACGGCTGAACTCTTTCTTGTAAAAAAATAAATTTTTATTCTCACAAATTACTCTTGAAATCTTTTAACATTTTGACTTAATTCTGAGCATTTTTAAAATTTTTATTTTGACAAAATAAGATTCCTTTATGTCAGGCTGTACAGTGAAATGCTATTCATCTCCCTGCCACCACAGGGCGCCCTGAGCATGTATTTCAACCATGGGACGCACATTAAATTAAAAGCTGCTCCAGAGGCCTTCAAGTGGCAGATTTATGGCTTGGCTAAATATATCAGTGACATTTTAACAGGAGTTGCGTGGATAAAAATGTAATGCGTTTTGATATGTTTAGAATGTCAGTAGGTTGTTTAGTTTTTGATGCTTTTCTCCTCAGATCCGCGGCTTCCTCTCCAGATTCGACAACGTCCTGCCTGCCAGCCTGGCCTTTGACAAGTGCACCGCCTGCTCACCTATTGTAAGTAGCACCCCCCCTCCCACCCAAATGCATCTACAACTGAATGTGGTACTACATCAACGCGGTAAGGCACTGTGGGCAGTGTTGTTTTAAAATTGTACCATCAGAGTTAAAGATGGCATGTGACCCAAAATACAGAATTGGGGAGAGGGTGGTTCGTGTTGTCTGTATGTGTGTGTGGAGAGGCTGCTGGGGGGAATTCCCATAATTCCTACTTTCTCGCTGCAAAGTCAGGAGAGCGTATGTTGAAATGTTGCTCCAGGAGGAATAAGAAATGCCAAGAAAAGCTGGAAAATCAATCAGGCAGCAGTTGCTCACTTGTGTCCGTGGCTATAGCAAAAGCTTGTGTGTGTGTGTGTGTGTGTGTGTGTGTGTGTGTGTGTGTGTGTGTGTGTGTGTTTGAGCAATAGTCCTCCATTTGGTCTTTCACAAAGAAGCATTGCGCTATGTTGCATCACACACTGAAGACAACATGAACATGAAGGACCGTGGAAGGAAGGGGTTGACGGATTGATTGCTTCATTCGAACAAACAGAATTAAAAAAAGATATCCACCGGTAACTCCTGCATGAAAGCCTAATATGAAAGCCTGACTGATTGAAACCTTAACTCTTAGCTTCAACCCCTAATTGGAAAATCATAACCTGAAACCCCAATTTGAAAACCTAGCACAGGCTACAAACCTGAAATTAAAACACCAACCCTGGCTTCCAACTCTGTGCCTAACTAAACTTTTAATTTGTAAATCTATCCTTAGTTTGAAAGTTGATCTCTCTTCCTTGAAACCCCAACCCTGTTTTAAAATCCGAACTGTAATTTTGAAACCTCAACCCTGCCTTCAAAACCTAATTTGAAACCTCAACCTTGTTTTGAAACAAAACCTGATTTGAAAAAACCCACACACATATCTTGAAACCCTAATTTACTCAAAACCCTAAACCTGTCTTAAAAGCCTTCACGTATTCAACCTAGCAGACCAGAAAATCAGGTATTTGCCTCATACTACGCCATAAATGTGATCCAATTAGTTTGTGAGATTTGTACATTTGAACACGCTTGGACACGTCTGTAATCAGTCCGCACATCTAGGGGTAAAAACATAAGGCAGCTACGGGCGATTATGGTTTCAAACCGTTTTATGGTGAACCGCGTTGAACTGTATACCGCTGGTAGAAAACGTGGCTCGGGTGTTCAAAGACAGAGACAGTGGGAGGAAGTAAAGGGCTCGCCAAAGTCTTTCTTTTATCCCCCAATCTCAATGCGGTCTTTGTGTATAAAAAGGTCATAAAGCCACAGATCTATCACTTTCATGTGAAGACCCGACTCACAGGGAGGGGGAAGCGGGATAAAAGTTTCTCCACCTTCGTTGCTAAGTGTCTCGTTTCTGTGACTGATGAGATTATTAGCACAGTACAAGCCAGTGTAGTCAAGAACATGACAGAGAGAGAAAAATGGGGTGTTTTCATTTGCTTTAAATCCCACCCACACATTTTCCCCTCCCTGCTTTGCCTTTGAGTCGTCTCTTTTGTCTTCTATCCAGCCAAATTCACATCTCAATCTGCAGTTTTACATTTTTGACTCTTTCCTGCTCCTTCTACACACCCCTTCCCCCTTCCGTTTGTGTGACTAATCAACAACCCCTTCACGCCAGTGTGTGTGTGTGTGTGTGTGTGTGTGTCTGTGTGTGTGTGTCTGTGTGTGTCTGTGTGTCTGTGTGTGGCAGTCAGCTGTGTGCTGCCAGGTCACTATGGAAACAAAACAATTCTGCCCCTGTCTGGACTGAAGCAGTTCCTTTAGAGTTGGGGCTTTTTTCACTGTGTGTGTGTGTGTGTGTGTGTGTGTGTGTGTGTGTGTGTGTGTGTGTGTGTGTGTGTGTGTGTTCGCGCTGACGCACGCACAGCAGAGAGCAGCGGACTATCGACTGCTGAGGCGCGCTTCGCTCAAGTGGCGTCGCTACACGTGCGCGCGTGTGTGCGTGCGCGTGCTTCATTGGGACTGCATGCCAATAAAACTACACGACGCTGAGTAAAACACCACTGACGTGGATTCGTCTAAAATGGTGCCAGACGCCTCTTTGTATGAGCTACTGATGCTAACACCGCCAAATATGATACCTCCATTATTAGATTTCGTAGGGGTTCTCCATGGTTACATTCATATTGGGTCCCATGGCTCGACTCGCTATACAATTCGCTATATAATTCGCTTTTTATTGGCTCCATAAAGGACTATTTTGAGTACAGATATTCCAAGCATTTCGTGCCATACAGTGAGTTATATGGATGACATAAACCTCCACTGGCTGTTGATTGGCTGAACGGATTTGAACATGTCAGAATATGGCTGAAAATGGAAAGTATCAGCACACATTCATTGAGTTATGAGTGACCCAATGTAGTTTTTCCAGATAATTAGAACATTTTTACTGCGTTAGCATAGATTAGTCATTGACTACAGAGCAACTAGCAACTTCAGGTCATGCTGCCACCATAGGAACGGAAGTCTGACATAAACTAAACATTGTTGTTTGAAAGTATCAGAGATATGGTAATGCTGTGGCTTCGTATTTCCAATCCACTGTGGTCCAGTTTTGAAGTGGAAAGCCGACCCACCCCAAACCTGAGTACATCTTGACTGTGTACTTGCTAGGTACTAATCCAATTGACTCCTGTTGGTATCAGTAGTGTGCCTTTCAAACTGTTGTTGACCGTCAAAACAGGTCAAGGAGAAGACGTTTCAGCCCGTGAATAATAAAAGCAGCGCTAACAACAAAGCTAACAAGCGTTGCTACACTGATGGGAAAATGTCTCCGAATTTGCATCTCTGTTGTACGGGAAGATTTCAACGTGGACCCCTATTTGGGGTTAAAACATACTTGATTTGCAGGGTCCATTTAGAGCTTCAGCTCTCGATGCTGCAGTGTAGTACTTCACAGTCTCCACTTGGGGTCGTCTGTTTACTCGCAGTCCTCAGTTTCCTCTTGATTAAAATGGATCTCATGGAGCATGCACCCTACTGCTTTGTTAACCTTCCTTAATGGACATTTTATTATACAGTACAGCTCTATTTCCAAAAGATGACATCAATAAAACAGATCATGCGTTAAATTGCTTTAAAAAAATAATAATAATTTGGTTCATTTTTGACCAATGAACTCAACACCCTGTATTTAAAGCGTCTCGCATCACATTGTTGTTTATGGCCGTTCACTTCCTGTGTTCTTCTGAAATGCGCTTAGGCCTGAGTGGTTACTTAATAAGTCACAGCATGGTTTGTGTGCGTATGTCTGTTTTTTAAAGCAAGCAGCAAATGTGCCGTGGAGACCGTAGATACATTAACACGGGCAGTCAAAGCCACTGAGTCACTGGGAGGTGTTTACTCGTCGCCTACAAAAAAAAGATCAGACCACAGCAGACCCGCCAATCGTGGGCCGCTGAACAGAAAGCGTGACGTTGAACTTGAGAGGGGAAAGTATTCAGGGTAAACACAATTTAGGGCTTAGCTTCCGTTATCATTTAATAGACACTGCAGCTAAGAGAGCGTCTAGTCAGCAGGAAAACCTCCCATTGGGTGAAGTCGATAATTAAAATAGCAACACTGGATAGTTAAGGTGCCATTTAAAGGGACTGATCTGTGGCTAATCCTTATTTGAACCCCCCCCCTCCACCCCTATTAAAAAAGTGCCCTCTTAAAAGTATTAAAATCACATTCTGTTCCCTACTCAATGTCAACATCAATAGAATACATTTTGCCATATACACATGTGGACATAATTGTTGGTATCCTTCTGTGAAAGGAAAACCCTCAGTGGTTACAGAAATTACTTGAATTTGACAAATGTAATTACAAATATTTTGTGAAAATGAACCAATGAAAGTCAGACATTGCTTTTGAATTGTGGTTCAACAGAACTATTTCAAAAAAAAAAAAAACCTCACGAAACGGCAGCAGGTCTGGGCAAAAATAATGGTAGCTCATGAACACATTGAAAATAATTGGACCATAGAGACAAGTTCATTTTAGGTCTGTCCTCTAATTAGCATCACAAGTGTCTTCAAACTTGTAATCAGTCAAATCGGCCGATGAAAAGAGTGACAAGTACCTCACAGGGTGTGTACCAATCAAAACATGGACCAGAGGAAGCAAAGGGGAGAGTCTTCTCAGGGGATTATAAAGGAAATTATAGACTAGCATGTTGAAGGAAAAGACTATAAAACCATCTCCAAGTAGCTTCGATGTTTAGGTGACTACATGTTGTCCACTTGTGTACGAAGTAAATCTAAATTGTAGTCATCATTTTACTTACAAATTATTTTACTGTCATTTGCTACAAAAAAATTTAACATTTCTTTTCAGGTTTTTTGTTGTTTTTGGGGTGTCTGGAACAGATTATTTAAATTTCAATTTATTTTAAAGTTGATAAGAGAGATACAAGTAATTGAGTCCTAAGCTTAGTCATAAAACAAATTAAACTCACAACTTCTTACATTGATATTTACATTGTGTGTTTCTCTTTTGTTTAGGTCCTGGACCATTATGAAAGGGAAGGCTTCCACTTCCTGTCCAAAGTGTTTAACTCTTCACACTCCTTCTTGGAGGACCTTACAGGATTGACATTGTTACACCAGGAGACCCAAGCAGCAGAGGTAAAACACAGTTTCAGACTCTCACCATAAAGTTGCTAAGTGGTCCCTGCATCACCATCAGTGAATTCCACGTTGAGATCAATCGTATTTGGACTAAACAGAGGAGAGCAGGATCACTGCTGTTGTCTCTGTCTCCCCTGGTGCCCTTGGAAGGGTTAAATATTAAATATAAGCAGTTGGAAAGAATTTGAGGTCAAGGCACTCAACGTGGATAATGTAAATGTAAAAAGGCTTTATTTATAGTGCTCAGAATTTAAAAAAAATACAAAACCCTTTTATAGGTAATGTCAAACTAACATAAAATTAAGAGAATTACACAAATATTTACAACCAAATTATGTTACTGCAAGAACAGACCCCGTTAGCTTAAGTGAACTTTTTCACTCCCATTGATGTGCTAACAATTAGCATCGATAATCATGCTTTTACAACAATTTTACATACGTTTTATAGACATACATTTGAACTTTTCTTTATCAACCTAATCTCTCTGCCCAATTATACTTTTTACACTCTCAGTGCCTCTTTCAGGCAAAAACCTTTCCAAATGTGTTGTATGTGACTCCATAAAATGACAGCCAGCTTCAAAGGAAGATATAGCTGCGTTGCCTCACCCTGTCGTTGTGACAACAACACACAGTATATATGCGACCGTGGAAATGAGCGGTGTAAAGTTCCGAGAAACATCCCAGAATACTCGCCGGTGGAATATGAGTGTTTTTCCTCAAGACTCCCCTCTGACTTGAGACAGAGGGGCAGACCGAAATAGGGGGGTTGGGAACAGGTCCTGCCAAGATGTGGGAAAATCCCATGCACTTCCTCCCCGACTCCTACTCATAACACGCAGGAGGAGGAAGAGGTCGAGTGAAGAAAGGAGGGGAAAAGATAACAGTGAAAGAGAAAAAAGAAAGGATGTTTAAAGAACCTTTTTCTCCTCCATCCTCCTGGGGACACCTTCTCTCCTTCTGCTGCTATCTATCTCGTTGCTGTTTTATGAGAGTGCCTTTGAAAGTCTCCGTGGCCTAATCTGGCCCTCTTCAATCAGAGGACGAAGCGATTGTTTTTCAGCCCACAAGCGCCGCAAGTCTTTTCCGGTAAACACATTAGCCAAATTCGTGGAACTTGAGAACAAATTTGGCTTATTTTAGTCCATTCCACTAAGGGCCATTCCCTAACTTCCTCTGAAACAACGTCTTATGTCGTGTAGGACACACGTGCCGAATCTATGACACGGCTTTTTTTTTTTAAATTGTTGAGTTCCTTTTCGGTGTTCAAAATAATAGCCGTGTATTTAAAGAAGTAGTCAATATCCTGATAAAAGGTTGTCATTTTTCCATACACACAAATGTATTGGGCAAAATGACACATTATATTCCAGAAAAAACACGGAGAAACTTATGTTAAATGTGTTGTAGTTTTACAGAAAGTGAAGAACGAGAAATATAGTAGCGTTTTGTTTTCATGTGAATCCCAAAAGTCACGGAACTTTTGGGTTTTGCGAGATATAAGGTCGTTTTGCCGATTTTCTTGCTTTGACTTGCTATCAAAATTCAAGGTATTAGTGCTGGACGCATGGTCAACTCAACTCACTTTGCGACAAGCAGCAGTTTGGCAGTGAACAGTTCTTAAATTTTTTTTTTAAAAAAGCTGTATAATGCCACTCACAGGGTTTCTCTCAAAATATACGTTAAAGAATTTTGCTTGTTGTGTATTTAAAACATCCATAAAGCTTTGTCTTTACTTAATGTCCGCTAAGCTTAATGCTCACACATAAACAGGCTTACGAAAAGTCTATCTGTGGTGGAGTTATCATGCCTTAAGCAACTGAGATGTGAACAGAGACAGTGCATCAACCAATGTAGACTGACAATACGGTATAACACTACTCACAGGCATATATTCTTTATCCCCTGCGAAAAGGAACTATTACTGCAACTTCCCGAGTCATTCTACAGTAGTTGTGAAAGTCTTCTTTGATTGTGTTCGTATAGCTTGTATTATACGGACACCTGAAGTGCCTGCAATGAATGAGACGTGTCAAGAGCATCTGCAAATCCAAGCACCTTAAAGAAGTCTTTAATTAGATTTTCAAAAAATTATGATAATATATTGTTGCGGTTAGCATCTTTTCACATGAGCAGGACAGGAGTGTTACAGTGGTTCGTAAAATATTGCCTTCCCCTACATTAATTAGTAAATGTTTTCTCATGGCCACAGTTTCAGATTATTCGAACATTATTTCCTCTGGGGACAAAAATTGTGTAGGAATCCAAATGAATGGAGTAACGTTCCTTGCGTGGCTCATTTATATCTTAAAAAAGTTCTTAGTATGTGCTCTTATTTTCCTAAAGATGATAGCGAGTGTGAGTAACTTTTCTAAACACTAATGTACGTCACCAGAGGGCTGTAATATGCACTTAGGGCCTATTTCGGGCGAATCGTAACCTGAGAAGTGCTTTTCATGCGGTCACTGCAGGGTTTTTGGGGGAGTTCAAGTTTGGTTAAAGTTTAGACTGAGCGCTCATGTATGTGTGTGTGAGAGTGTGTGAATGGCGCCTTTGTGAGAGCAGTGCCCTCGAGATTAGGTTAGGAGCTCTCAGTAGGATGGAAAATGTGTGCTTTGAATCGTCCGTCTGGCCAGTTAGGCACGTACATTTTCAAAACTTGTTGCATCATTCAGGTTTTTGACAAGAAAAAAAAAAAGTGGCGCTGTCCAAATTGGATTTGGTCTTTGAGTTCATGGTTTGATTTATAGTCACAGCCTTGCTATTGTTGGATCGCACCGCTCGGCAGTAACTGCCTATTAAAGCCAGTGCGCTGACTTTTATATCTTGCGCGCCTTCCTCGTTTTGCCCTTGCGACCGTCATGCTCTTCAAGCTTCTGCTGCCTTAGCTCATGTTACAAGCCTTTTTGTGTTTTTGCCACAGAGAAAAGGGAATTACATTGAAACAGTCGGATGTGAACAAAAGTGTTCTTTAAATTAAAGAGCAGAGGTGGGCAATTTACAACTTTTTGTCATTCGTCATTGCTTCCGTCAGTAAATTTCACGAGTATAGCTCTCATCAATTTGTCAGTTGTTGTGGTCTTTTTCTTTAGCTTCTCCTTCTTCTTGGTTCTTTGGTGGATGACAGCTCTTTGGTGCATACCAAAATCTACTGTACAGGAAATGCAAAACATTCCATTTTTTGGCATAGGAAGCAACCTTGCTTGTATTCAGCCCCGTGAACAAACACACAGAATGGGTTTGGTGTTTCTCTGTCGTCAGCAAAACGGGCATCCGTCATTGGCAGTATGAGATGTCGGTCGCTACTTGACCCGGTAAATAATGATGGACAAAAACCCACCTCCCTCAGTGCTTAGTCCATCAGGTTGCCTTCATTTGTCAATCAGCAACAAAACGGGCGTCCGTTTTTACAGTCAAGCACAAAGTGGTTTACCACAACACCCAAAAAACCCAAGTGACGAAAAAAATGCCACATGCCAAAAGGCCTATGACTGCCACAATACTGGGAAAAAAAGGCACAACACAATATTTCTCAAGCTGGAGTTGTCGTTAGCATATCGGGGTAATAGCATTTCTATGAACGAGCTAGCATAGAAATAGCATTTTTTTTTTAATGGATAATATACAGTGTATATACTTTCTTTAGAGCAAACAAACTTGTGCCTGTTGTTTTTTGACAGTTACAGTTAGATATTTTCTGTGCTGCGCTGTGAATGGCGAGTCTGCATTTCTTTGGACAGCTTCGCGCGTGATCTAATGTCAGCAAGTATGGTCGCATAAAGAAAATAAAGGCACATTCCTACTCTAAAGGATGACAGGTTTAAGGGCCCAAATACTTATGGTTCGCTTTGTTGTTTAGCTTTGTTCCTCGATCTAAAAAAATGGAATTACACTTTATGTATATTCTTTGTATTCTATTCATTCCTTTATGGCTTCATATCTCCTTGGGTATGAGTCACTTTCCCTCGTCATCAGGAAGATGAGTCCTCCATGTTCTATAGTCCATTGCTTTGGTCATTTCCAGTACACTGCCGTTTTGTTTTGATTTGTTTTGTTGTCCATAAATCTCTCTGTCTGTATGTGTGTGGCTATTCCAAACAAGAGGACCCTCACAATACAAGGATCCTTTTTTTCTGCATCCCCCACTTGCAGACTGGCCCTGCCAGTAAGTCACAAGGCCAAACGGCCATGTTGATCTCGGAGAAGACTGTCTTACTTTGTTACTCGGTTTTGTCTGCTGACATGAATTTGCGCTAGCCCCCTTTTGAATACAGTCATCATTTCTTCAAATGAGACAATTTACAGATGTGAACAATACTCGCCTAAATGTGCATTTTTTTATTCAATTTATTTAGCTTTCAATTTATCAGTCAGCTATCCTCGTGATTCCCAACTACTGTGACTTGGCACTTGAATGTGTCGTCTTTACTTTTCCAATTTCACAAATTTTGTTCAACTATTTATGCCAGCGCCGTATAATGGCAGAACAAAAATAATGTTCTTCCATTAGATGCCAGAAGTTACACAAATAAGCTTTTTTGTGACATTTTTTTTCTGTCGTGTGCTGTGAGATTTTTCAAGTCAAGTTTAGTTTTGAGGTACCTGTATTTCTCTCACTGGGCTAAAATACATATTTCCATGCCCATTAAAAAAAAAAAAAAGAGAGAGAGACCAGAATTTCTTTGATAGTACAGTGTCGTGTTTTAATCAGAGTGAATCATTTTTGTTGTCGTCATGGTGACAGTGGATCAACTATAGTGCAGCGGTTACTTTTCAGAGATTTTATTAATTTCTTTACGATGTTCAGTCATTTCATTTTGTGTATTGAGCTTTCACGTTTACTGATGAAAAAGTTAATTTCACTTCACAGCTGTAGAGGGCACCCCTTGTGTTTTGTCGTGATGAGAGTCCTTTAAGTCATTTATCACAAATGATCATATTTTAATCAAATCAAAATAAATCCAGCCTAAACTCTGCTTTTACTGTAAGAGATCA